TCAATAGGAATAATGCTAAAGCTGCTAAAGCCCCTTTCTAAATCACACTCCAAGAGGTTTGTGCTCTTGTGGCGAGTCTTTTCAGTCACCCTGGCCTTTGCTTGCGATGGCAAGTTGGTGTGACCTGGCTTGCGGCCATTTTGCCCGATGGCGGCATGTTCATATCACCAGGCCCTCGACCCAGGTTTTTCCATGACGGGACCATAACGTCATCAGGAATCCGAATCATAAGGTTAAGACGCCTTGCCTCCTCTTGCTAAATCAATTATACACAAGCCTTTGTGGTTGTCATGTCATTTCCCGAGGTCTATATTTCTCATTTGTTAACCCATTAAAGTGGGTATATTTTGAAGCCAGAAATAAAAGATTCCGGGTAGCTACAAAATGGGTGCGAGGGGCTGGCCCAGACTCTAACTGCGTTTCGGCCACGGCCCGCTGCTGCATCGGAGCGTGAGCTCCGATACAGCGTCACACTGGCAGGACAGCCAGCAATGTTTATTTTTTCGGATGTCTCATATGTGGGACACTCGTCATTTATGGGTTAAGCTGTATCAAGTTGGTGATTGACTGGTATTGTTGAGAAGACTCTATTATCTCCCTAGGTTATTTTCAACCTAGTGCAATAGTAATAAGTAACAATCTTTTGTGTTTTTTATTGATTTTCTTTTATATTTTTATTTATTTTTTTCTCTTTTTTTCCTGCATTACTGATCTTGATGGGCAGGAATAGGATTTTGAGCATGGGAATTGTGTCTTCCTTGCTCTTCCAGTTATGGCTCACAAACTGTATATTCCATCCTTGTTTACCAGTGGAAATAATGCAAGAGCCCCTTCCTTAACTTCCCATTGAGTCTAATTTTCTTCCAAGAGCTTTGTACACTCATGATGAGCCTTTCCTGTTACCACTTGGCAAAAGTATTGCATGACTATGATTCCCATCACTCTTGCTCTCAGCCAAATTTTTTCATGTCAGCCCATTGTCATCACTACACCCAGTCCCAGTAGGTTAAGGGGAAGAGTTGTCAGTACGGTTCACAAATTACGATTTTTTCAAACTTTGTGTGTGGATACATGACCATGTGACGCACCCAGGGCGCCAGTTGCCAGATAGTTAACGAGCTCCTTTCCGCGGTTTAAAGGTCGTGGGTATTTAAATGCCCTCGTGGTGCCACACCCCTTTTTGCTTCATGCTTTGTTTTTCTTGTATTTTCAGTGTTTTTTCAGCTGTTTTTGCGAATTTCTTTGGTATGATACTGCTGTACGATAGTTTTAGCTGCGTTCAGCAGACAGGCAGCAGCAGCAAGGACAGGAGATTTGTGCGATTGATAAAGTTTTCGGGAGTACAGATGTTTTGTTTTCAACCTGTTGAAAACCTAACAATATGTTATTTATATATCAGAAATGCATAATATACGATTTACTATGTACTATGATATGTAAATGACAGAGGGACCAGGAGCCTTGACATCTGAAAGTATACTTTTCAGAGAACACTCCCACCTAACCTAACCTAACCTTGACATACAGATGACCTAAAATTACCTGAACAAGGCCTGACCCTCTACCACAGGACTCATATTAAAGGCCAAGGAATTGTCTAAGTAGATATTCACATTTGGTAATCATTGGTATGACCTTTATGATGTAATGACAATGAATGACAAAAACTGCCATATTCTCAAAATCATATTTTCACGTATGATAGTAAGGTTAACTTTGTAAGTAATTACGCGATTTTAATAATTCTTGTTGCAAAATGATCGTCCAGTTCGTATCTACTAACTGTAACAAAGTCATGCATTATTTCCACCAAATACATTTTTTACTGAAAAAAATAATGGCGATTTTAGGAGGAAAAAAAAGGCACTTTTTTGCAAGGTAACTGAAACATTGTCTTTTCAGATAGATTTACATAAATGCTACATTTGGTACTCCTATTTGTTGACTAACTCTGGTCAGAAGGAAACTGCAGTACTATTCACTATAAGGAAACCATCACATAATGTTTGAATTCTATCATTTACGCAGCTTTTTTAATCAAATTTCTTGTATATAAGCATCACATACCCATGTACTTTTTGTAAAAAAATTATTGACCTAGCCAAAAAACTAAAGTAAGCAGGATCGGATAACGAATTTCGTGATCGTACCGATGACTCTTCCCCTTAATGGCTCACAGCTATTATGTCTCAGTGACAATAATAAAAAGACAAGAAAACTTGAGGGCAATATTAGAGGAAAGGAGTGGTGAGATGAGTGTGGTTGAATGCATCATCCCAGACAGAACCCAATTTGCAAGTTCACATTCATAATAGACATGGGAAAATAACACACCAGTATTTGACAGCTCATGCATGATCATGGTGAACGGGCCTGTCTCAATATAAGATGTGAGCCACAATCAAGGGAAATTAGACTTTCAAGGTTAACCCACGTACGACAGGTGTCACACATATGAGATACCCAGAAAATAAACATTACTGGCAACGCTAGATCAAATCTTGTGCTCTGATTTTATCTCCTGTGGTGGGTGGCTTGCGGGCAGGTTCCTGGACTTGGCCGTGTGCTGATTTTGATGCCGCCCGGAAAACATTTTTTTGGGTTTGAAAATGAACTGTTGCTAGTGGGTTAAAAGTTAATTGTTGTTAGAACAGAATATCTCCTTATTCTACAGCAAGGATGTGTACAAAAGATAAATTCATAAATTTTATTTTGGAAGATGCTAAGGAAGGATATGAATAAAAATAATTTATTTCATAATGCAAGATATGAATTTAGATTTAAAATATTGTATTCATCTTTTCTTTATGTATTTCTTATTTTTATTCATATTGCAGGAAAGGAAAATTTTGATTCAGATTTAAATCATTCCAGGTAGTTCAGGTGTTCCATGTTCAAATCGCGAAGATGAGGAATATAAGGCTCGTGTAGAAAAGTTCCTGAAGGATATTGAGGGATCCAGGTAATGTAAATGGGTAGAAGTATCGTACAAATTTTGTGAATTGCAAAAGCCATATAATGTTCTGAGTATTAGGTAAATACATTTGTTAATACACTTATTTTGATAATAAAGTTTTCATATAAATCTCTTTTAACTTCAATGTGGACTGCTCAGGCCTATTGAAAAGAAGGAGCGAAGTAAAAAGAGATATAGAAAAGAAAGTGAATCCAGAAGCCGGCAGAAGCACAGTAGAGGTAATAAACTTTTGCTTTTTCATAGTAGGTTAATAGTAGGGTTAAGAAATGCGTAGCAAGCATTTACAGTTACCAAGTTACAACCAGTGCAAAAGTTTCCTGATGCATGCATAAATTTGCTTGGTATTTCTCTATTTATATTGATTTATGAAATTTAATAGGACAAAAGATTATGTTAGACATTTAGAGATTTGTAGAGATTTGCATATTATAATTATGTGTAAGGGTTTACAAAGTTCATTCCATTTCATTATTCCAGCAAACATATACCTGAATATAGGTAATGTTTGAAATGTAAACTGCAATTATTGCTGAATTTAATAGATTTTCTTTCCTTCATCCTTTTTTATACTGAATATGCAACAGTGTATAGTACAAAATTGCTTAGGATTATTTGTTTTTATTATTTTTTGTGTACATTTAAAAGAGTGTAACATATTAATCAGACCATTTAATTGTGAATATTTTCCTTAACTGCTTTCAAGAAGCACGCAAGAAGAAGAAGAGCAATAAATCCAACAGTAGCTACAGTGGAAGCAGTAGTAGCAGCAGAAGCAGGAGTAGTAGCAGCACTACCAGTAGTAGTGACACAAGTAGCAGCCATAGCTACAGCAGTCACAGTAGCAAGAGTAACAGCAAAAGTAAAAGCAGCAGCAAGAAACATAAGCATAAAAAGAGTCAGAAGAAGAAGAAGGAAAAAAAGTCAAGCAAAGTGGAAAAGCCATCAAAAAGGGAACATAAAAAATCAGAGAGCTCAAGTGTGAAAACGTCAGATGTTTCAAAAGTGTAAGTGTTTAGATTTCTTAGGGAACTTTTTAACCTTTTTTCTTGAGATGAGTGTAAATATTTAAATAGTTTGAAATAACAAAGTGTGACTCTTTTAATAGGTTGCCTCATTTCAGTGCTTGAAAGTGGATATAATTCTTCAGCCAATCTTGGAGCAACAAGAAAATGTCCAAAGAATTTTCAGGAATGGAACTTAAAACTAAACATAAAAACACCATCGTTGTTTCATATACTTAAAGTATATCAATATTAAATAGAAACATTGAAATCTAAATTATTACAATCAGATGTGGATACACAGAAACTGTATTGTGTAAATCATCAACTATCATTTAGTGCTCTTTAGAGAGTACAACATCATTTTTTCTTTGGATATCAGTTTATATTAATTCTTCATTGAATTTTTAAAACTTTAGTGGATCATAAACTATATGACCTGTAATGAGATATGAAGCATAAACATTAAGTTATGCTGAAATTTATTGAAAAATCAAAACAAATTTTGTTTACAAAAGAACAAAAGATGGATTTTGGACAGATTGTTTACATTTGTTGTGTAAATCAAAATAAATATTATTTTATGATGATCTTTTTCATTTTAGTTATAAGTTATCTTGAATAATCATGTACAGAAATTCAATTAGTATGGGGGAAAATATGTTTCAGAATCTTCTGTAAAGCATTCCAGGTAGGAACAGTTTTGGTGGTTATTGCCAGTGGAATAAAGAATGGTATCAGAGACACTGCATTCCTGGAGATGATCCATCCTGTTTTTCAGGGAAGAAGAGGCAATTCCTGGACTGGACAGTTTGGAAGAGAAGCTGTCTGCTTACTTTAAAAAAGTAGAGGCCAGTCAAAGGGAAGATTCTTCAAAGTAAGTTAGCCTGTTGTCTCAAGGCCCAGAGTGTGGGTTACCAGTATCTTTGAATAGAAACCAAATACATTACTAGATGGAAAGAACTGGTGTATATAACAATATATAACGATGTAAAACAGAAATATTAGTATTTGTTTAGAGGTTTAGAATTATAGTATGGAAATTTGTAATATATTTTTCTGGGTATGTAAAGAAATATATTAACACAAATCTATCTTTGTGATTAAATGCATTTTCTGTTCTTCATTCTACTTTGGTAAAATTTAGGTACATTTTCCAGGTTTGTATTTGATATATAGTTGGAGATAAAGTCAAATGACTATTTTGTTGACATACAATTTTCAAAAAATGTAAAAAGGTTAGAAAGCTATCTTCTCTCATTACAGAGACTCTGAAATTCAGAATGAAAATGAAATGAAGAATTACAAACAAGGTATCTGCATGTCTTTAAAACCACATCAGATTTCTGTGTCAACATCCTCATTCAAGAAGGTGCATCCAGCTTTTAGAGAAAGTGATGAGGATCTTGATGAAAATGCTTCTCATGTCATTGACATGGCAAGAAAATGTGGTAAGTTTGAAAAGCTGCAGCTTTCCTTGAAAACTTCAAAGTCTAATTTAGAAATGAGTGAAATAATGCCTGCTGATAGTAAGGAAAGATCAAGGTCTCCAAAGGGAAGAACATCTTACTCCAAGGCAAGATCACACAAGTCTTTTTCAAGGTCAAGAAGTAGATCACAGTCGAGTACAAGGAGCAGCAAGAAATCACCCGACAGGCGCAGCAGAGGAAGGACTCGTACAAAATCCAAATCACCACCTTACCATTATGAACATGTTGACTGCCATAGAAAATACAAAGTGAAGTCCACAAGGGAAAATCAGTCACTAGATCGAGGGAAATTTAATAACCAGAATTCTTCTGGTTTTGGCCATTTAATGCCCCATGACTTTGAAAAAAAGATAGAGGCAGCTAAATCTAGGTTAGGTGCTGAAATTGATTATGAAGTAGTTGAAAATACATTTAATAAATCCAGACCCAGAAGGTGGAATACTAACTCTTCAGGTTCACCACCATATTCAAAGTTCTCACGTACCAAGACCCCAAATAGATGGGATTCATCTCACTCGAGGACATCCGGTAAATGGGATAATGCTAGACCGAAAACTCCAAGTAGATGGGATTCTTCAAGGCCAAAGACCCCAAGCAGGTGGGACTCTTCAAGGCCGAAAACCCCAAGTAGATGGGATACTTCAAGGCCAAAGACCCCAAGCAGGTGGGCTCTTCAAGGCCGAATACTCTTCAAGGCCAAAGACCCCAAGTAGATGGGATTTCAAGGCCAAAGACCCAAGTAGATGGGATCTTCAAGGCAAAGACCCCAAGTCGCTAGGGATTCCTCAAGGCAAAGACCCAAGTAGATGGGTTCCTCAAAGACCAAGATGGGATTCCTCAAGGCCAAAGACCCCAAGTAGATGGGATTCCTCAAGGCCAAAGACCCCAAGCAGATGGGACTCTTCAAGACCAAAGACCCCAAGCAGATGGGATTCCTCAAGGCCAAAGACCCCAAGCAAATGGGACTCTTCAAGGCCAAAAACCCCAAACAAATGGGACTCTTCAAGGCCAAAGACCCCAAGTAGGTGGGGTTCTTCAAGGCCAAAGACCCCAAGTAGGTGGGAATCTCAGAAGACAAGATGGTATTCATCTTGGTCAAGGTCACCAAGTAGGCAGGAGGCTGTCTCTCCAGATAGATGGGAATCTTCATTGCCTTCTAAATCTAACAAAAGTCCCAGTTCGGTGCAAAGATCTCCAGAGAGAAAAAACGAGAGCAAAAGTCCAGATAGGTCTGCAAGGTTTGGCAAATGGGATGAGGAGAATGGAAGAACTGATGATCCTAAAATTGGGAACACACTTAAGGAGATGGAAAGTTTTGTAGAAACAGCTAAGCAGAAAAAGTTAGAAGCTATGAAAGAAAGAAATAAAGAATTTCTCAAACCATCTGTTGACTAGGATTTTGTAAGCACAGGGAATAACTGAATAAGAATTTCAGTTGTATTTTAGTCATTTGTGACAGTGTTATCAATAAGGATTTCAAATATATTCTGATAACTTGATTAATTATTGATATGTTGAATATTTCCTTGAAAACAGGTTGTCAAATAAATGTGTACATTATTATATTGTTAATGTTTATGATTAACATGTATTTTTCCTTTCTGTAATATGGAAGATGGAGCTTATGAGAGTACTAATTTCTATGAATGATTGTTATTTGTATTCTGAATTTGTGTTTTATTACATATCATAATGATATAAAACAAATAAAGCTAAAAAGGACAATTTGTCAGTTTGACAACTGACATTTTTATTTTCTTCCTTTGTTTGGTCTACCCAGCCCCTTCTTCTCTCTCTCTCTCTCTCTCTCTCTCTCTCTCTCTCTCTCTCTCTCTCTCTCTCTCTTTCGTCTCTCTCTCTCTCTCTCTCTCTCTCTCTCCCTCCCTCTCCCTCTCTCTTCCCTCTCCCTTCTCTCCCTCTCCCTCTCCCCTCTCCCTCTCCCTCTCCCTCTCCCTCTCCTCTCCCTCTCTCCCTCTCTCCCTCTCTCCCCTCTCTCTCTCTCTCTTCTCGTCTCTCTCTCTCTCTCTCTCTC